GTGGCCCACAAAGTGGTTTCATGTGGCCCGTGAAGCCATCCTGGAAACAGTGAGGGAACGGCTCCCACTGCCTTGGCTCAGGCCGGCCGGCAGCCAATGTACAATTTTGTGGTGGCCATCTATGCTGAAATGCATTCAGTCTTAGCTCCACAAGGCCGTTTGGAAACAGCGAGGAACCAGCCCCTGCCGCGTCGGCCCTGTCCCCTGGGTGCATGCTGGGAAGGTGTCACCCTTTGTGAGGCATGAAGAGATGGACCATGCCTTGGCGCTTGCCCCAGTCCCACCCCCTTCTGCCAGAGACCCTCAGATCTGTCCCACTCCTGCCCAGGCCCCCACAGGCACCCTTGACGCGAACGATGTAGAGCTGGCCATGCCCACCCAGTAGGCCACACCCACCCAGTAGGCCGCACCCACCCTGGCCACACCCACCTGCCCCCCCCGAGGGCAACTGCAATGCTGATGCGGCCCTCAATGAAATTGAGTTTGACACCCCTGGTGTAGATCTATACATATGTTGTATATAGTATGTTTTAAATGTGTGTTATGTATGTGCACACTTTGAGAGCAAGCAACTAAATTTCATTTTTAATGTGTGCCATTGCGGCCACAGGAAAAAATGACAATAAAGGTTATCTAATCTTTCCTTCATTGTCACGCCCCCAACTATGGGGCCCTGAAAAGATCAGCCTCCAAGTCTTAAAACTGAAAGAGGTAGGTTCTATGAGAAGTACTCAATTAAGCATCATTATTAGAAGCTTGGAATCCAGCTAGTAAGTTAAGGGCCAGAAATGCTATTGAGACCAGCATGTAAGAGTGGCAGAACTTGGGGAGTGAGTTAAAAAAGGGATCAGCCTAGAATTCTACAAAGCCACAGCTGGACTAAATCCAACACACACACACAATCTAATTCCAAGGAGGTGCGGTTAATTTGAAAAAAAAAAAATCCTATGCATAGGTTTTATAGCAATAAATCAGTTTAATTGGACTTTCCCGTATGGACCTGGTCTTTCCCCCTGGACACAGTATTAGGTTTCCACAAAGACTTTTCTGCAATGTTCTGTCCCTGATCTTTTCCAAGGGAAGCCCTCCATGAAACATGTTGCAATAACCTTACCAGGGAGATAACAGAGTCAAAACTGCCTTGACCAAGCCTCTAGCACAGGGGTCTTCAAACTTGGCCCTTTTATGACTTGTGGACTTCAACTCCCAGAATTCCTTAGCTAGCGTGCCTGGCTGAGGCATTCTGGGAGTTGAAGTCCACAAGTCATAAAAGGGTCAAGTTTGAAGACCCCTGCCTAGCACAAACTTCATAAATCACTAGATGGAGTCCAAGGCTTCATAAATTTTCTTTAAGAGAAAGTGACTTGGACATTAATGGATGATTCATGGAACTGAAGAAGTTTGAATGTTGATATTTGGTAGAGAGGAATCAAAATAGCTCCTGAATATGGAGTAGCTCGGGTGTCCTTTTTGCCCTTACTTCGACCAGTTGGAATACAAAATAGGTATGCAAACATTTAACATGAAGCTTTATTTGATTTAAGACATCATTCAGCTGTGTACATTAGAAATGACAATGTCTATATCACAAAATGACGATAAAATCAATAATTTAAACACATTCATTTTCATTTTTGGCCCATAAAGCATATATATGTTAATATAAATACCTGCCGCTTAATAAATTAACTGCATATTCAACAAGGAAACAAAGCAAATGAGGAAAAGGAAAATTAAAGCAGAGGAGCCCCTGTCTTGTCGTAAGAGGAATCTCTCTGTGTCTTGTTTTAATCATTAGTGATTCCAAGTCATTTAGAAATGCTTCTTCTTTCAATGTGGATACAGAGCACAGTTTAAAAAAAACAACACAACTATATGAGCATTGAAGAGTGGCACTTAAAAGATCTCCAAGAAGGAATAGCAAAACACAGCAAAATGCTTCTGCTAATCAGCATTCCTGATCCCTTTTATCAGAAGAGAAAAGCAATCGCGAAATCTCCTTTCCTTATATAACATTAGCAAACCCATCTTCATCAGACTCACAACAAATAAATCCCAACAGAGCAAGTGAGAATTTGGAATAAATCAAAAGACTGGAGTGTGTTACATGATTGATCAAGGGAGATTTATATTTGGCCCATTAATTGTATTAATCTGCAACGTGCTAAGTTGATTCACATCCGGCAGCCTGTTGGTGGACCCGGTGGTTATGCCCAGATCCTCCATTACTTTTCTAGCGCTCGTGCAAGTGCCTGGGGGATGGCTATCAAGCTGCCTCTGCCCCCTAACTCTCCCCCCCTATCTCATTTTGGAGCGATCTCTCACCTAGCATTCCAACTCTGATAACGTCGGCAGTCGGGCCAATGATAGCTTAGTAACTCTTTTGCTTACAAACTTGTTTGTATTAAACAGGTTTGTTTTATTTTTATCCTGGTGTTTGTTTTTTCTATATTTTATTGATATGTGTTTGCCCAGGATTTGCATTTTTAATGTCATTAAGGACATATATATATATAAAGGACATATATATCTAAAAAGCTTGGTCTCATCAGAATGATTGAAATGCAAGATACCGTACGAGCCTCCCTTATGAAAAGATTTTGTGTGCCCTTTTTCCATACTGTTTTTAAATTACATTCTTTACTTTTTTTTCCAGCAGCCATCTCTTGCAGCCAAGAACTTGTGGCCACTGAGCATGGTCCCCAACTTTTCTGGCACCAGGGACCAGTTTCGTAGAAGACAATTTTTCCACGGGGTTGGGTGGTTTTATGCGCAACCTAGATCCTGCACAGGTGCAGATGAAGCTTTGCTTGCTTGCCTGCTGTTTGCGTGGCTTGGTTTCTAACAGGCCACCGGACCGGTACCAGTTCAAAGCCCAGGGGATGGGGACCCCTGCCCTGAGCAGACAAACCAATATGCCATTGCACAGACTTCCTTGGATGCTAGTTCACCGTATCAGATGCCTACATGTTTCTGATGCAGTGCACTGCAATCCCCCAAAGTTTATGCAGGAATAAACATGCCCAGTTTTAAAAGTGCCACAAGAGTTCTTGATTTTTTTATCATTTTGTTCAGCCCTCCTCTACAGAAACAGCAGGATAGATGATCGGCATCACTGTGGATCTAGTAAATAGTAAAAGCTAGAAGCAGGCAATTATCAGAAAAAAAGAAATCTTACTGAGAACAATAATACTGAATCATGATCTGAATAATGCTGGTGATGGGATAACTATATAACATTTCTTGGAATTGATTATACTGTAGGTCCTTTTGCTTCAGATAGAAACACAGTTTGGGATCTCTCCTTAGATCGGTGTTTTCAACCTTGGCCACTTTCAGATGGGTGGACTTCAACTCCCAGAATACTGGGAATTGAAGTCCACCCATCTTAAAGTGACCAAGGTTGAGAAGCATTGCCTTAGACCAGTTAGATCAAGAGTCTTCAAACTTGGCCCTTTTATGACTTGTGGACTTCAACTCCCAGAATTCCTCAGCCAGCGTGCCTGATTGAGGAATTCTGGGAGTTGAAGTCCACAAGTCATAAAAGGGCCAAGTTTGAAGACCCCTGAGTTAGATAATGTGATAATTACAGTACTTTCCCATTTGCTTCAGTGGAGAAAGTAGCCTTGCAACCATTTTTCCTGGATTTTTCTTCTCACCTACCAAGCTATTCTTTCAATAAAACAAGTGGGAAAGTTCTTTTCAAAGAGTCTTTTTAAAGGTATACAAGATAATCCAAGGCCAAAGCAGAGGAAAAGCCATGGCAGAACTATTTTAAATTAAACATTTGACTTCCTTTCATTAAAGAACTGTAAGTTCCTTCATTCTGTTAAGGGTTGTGTGTGTATCCCAAGTAGTGCAGTCAGAGCTTCTTCATTCTGATAACGTGAATTGGACTGCACTTCGTGGTATGAATTGGATTGTAGGAATCAGACTACAGTTCATTGCCAACTAGCATGATCCAGTGGCTTATTTACTGCAGAGGGCAAGGGCAAGGATATCAACTTGGAGAAGGACGGTGTGTAGTCAGGATGACTACATCAGATGAAATATCATTTGCTTTTAATACTAAATAATATGTAATCTTCCCAAAAAAAGTTGCATTTAAGACAGCTTTAATTCTACAATCAACTCCACTAAAACCAAATGTAGATGGAGGGATTTTACATTCTTTGGGGAGATATCAGGAGCTTTTTAGCTAGCTTTAAAGAAAGATTGACTACCAATGTTGAGCATCATGTACAACTGTAGGAGACTATTCTACAGCTAGATCAGGGGTCTTTAAACTTTAAGACTTCTGGACTTTCAGAATTCCTCAGCCAACTCCAACAGTTTGGAGATCCCTGATCTAGAGCATTCCCTCAAATCATGAGGTTCAACATACAGTATTTGGTAGCAGCTAGTGACCTGTTATGAGATGAAGGGATGCTTTAGACCAGGTAAGTAAACTGCACAGTTTTTCCTGACCAGTTTTACATTCTACATCAGAGTTCCTGATATTCAACATGTCAGATGTACCTTGGTAGATGTAGCGTCAAATCTGCTTTGCTCCTGCATCACGGTTTTGCATCTGACTCTGCCCCATGGTTGGTAGATATCATGTTTTCAGTAGAACTAGCACCCACAACCCTGAAGACTGCCCATCCAGCCTTTCCCAACCGGGTGTTTTCCAGATGTGTTGGACATGAAATGTCCAAAGGCTGCAAGTGCTAGGGATTATGGGAACTAGAGTTCAACTCATCTGAAGGGCGTTATGAAAAAATTGCAGGCTGGAACATTCACATCTTTCTTGGAAGATGGATGAATATTTAAAATGTTTTCTGCAATTAAAAAAATGACTGCATTAAAGTAAAATGGCATTTATCCAGAAATGAATTTGGCCATCGTTCAATGAAAAAATACTACTTTCATTATAAGGGAAGGTTTGGGACAGAAGCCCCCCCAATCAAGAAACATACAAACAACACAGCAGCATTGACATTCAAGAGTCAATTTGTTTCTCAAGAAGTACCATCTCCAGTCCTCTCTTTGCGAGCTTGGATCATCTCATTGGGTGCTTGCTTCCTCTCAGTGACCAAACCCAACCAAAACATGAAGTCAATGAACCACGTGGTTGGGTTGAATTTCAAGCCAAACTCACTGGCTGAGTAATCAAATGGAAAGGTGTGGTGGTAATTATGGTAACCTTCTCCTGGAAAACAGAACCCAGAAGAAATGAAAAGTAGGGTCAAAGGTAGAGGAGGGGGAAAAAAGTAGGATGTAGCATCAACAAGCAGAGGCAGTAGACATTCTAATGGAGGAACAGCTATTATTTTCATGATTTTGACCAACAAAAGGATTTTAAGAGCTACGTCCTATAAATATATACTTTGAACAGGGTGTCCAAAATGAAATGTTCCAACGAGCCATCTCCTGGTTTCTTCCTCCTTTTACTTCTGATTTCCACTTAGGTTGGATGATTAGATTTTATATTCTCAAAATGGGGACTATTATGTTCCCCAAGAGCTTTGAAGAAGCTCCTACACAACAGTCTGAATCTTACCTCTGATAGTGCTTGGAATGCCTGCCATGTTCGATGTTAAAATAGTAATTAAATGCAGGTTCTATTAATTTAATATCAGCCATTATTTCTCCCTCCCTCTCTTGCTTAGTTTACTACCGTATTTCCCCGAAAATAAGTCCCAACCGGAAAATAAGCCCTAGCATGATTTTTTAGGATGCTCGTAATATAAGCCCTACCCCAAAAATAAGCCCCAGTTAAGATCATCAGCCAGACGGATGCATTTAGTACTGTATTTCCCCTCAAAAATAAGACCTAACCGGAAAATAAGCCCTAATGCGCCTTTTGGAGCAAAAATTAATGTAAGACCTGGTCTTCTTTTCGGGGAAACACGATATGTAGCTAAAGAATTTTTAGTTGTTCTAATAGTACAGCTTTTTTTAAGAGAAGAAGAAAAGGTCTAAGCAAACAAGTAAAATTTTTCATCTGTGGGGTCCTTAGTGTTTTCTTAGGTTGGTTGTTTTCTTTCAGACATCTCATTACCAAACTAGGTAACATCATCAGTGCTAAAAAGGAGTAGGAATTGCTGTCATTTTGTATACTAGTGGTTTGCTGTGTTGGTGTTGGTGGGAATGTTCTTGCTGGTTCCTTAATTAGGCTGTTGTTTACTGTTAACTTGTTTGTTTGAATTGGTAGTTCCTTGATTGGGGTATTATTTACTTCTTCATTGTTGATCTATTTGTTGGTGTTAATCTGTGCTCATCTAGGTACTGATTACTGGTAAGAAGGTCTTTAATTTCTTATCCACACCAGAAATTTCTAATATTATCTGCCCAATATTTCATAAGACACCCACAAAAAAGAGGAAGACCCTTGATCTCACCACCACAGCCAGCATCTTCCTTTTCACACAACTTGTGGACATCCCTGACCCTAAAGCACCATTAAAGCAGTCTGGAGAAAGCAACCTCAAAAAACTAGATGAATCAATTCTTGGCAACTCACCAATAGCTCCGAAAGTGACAAAGGTATTCTGCCGAGGGTTGATGCCTTTGTCATATGGCCTATTTCCATACATGTGAGCAACACTATTGACCAGCCAAGCAACATTGAGGGAGACGGTGTAGCGGAGAATTGAAGCCAAGAAGTATGAATTCCACAAGCTCTCGCCCCAGAGATACCAAGGCAAGATAGTAGGAATGACAAAACACATCAACACAACTGAACTTTTATAGTACCTGTGAGGAAAGAAAAGGAAAAACAGAGGTGACTGGATCATACAAGATAACATTTCCCGTAACAATGATTCCAGATGAGTCAAGTGAGAAGAAAAGATCATGGGAGATATGTTGTCAATATATATATTTGTAGTGCAAAATGAAAGAATAATAAGTGGTAATACGCTTGCCAGAAACCCTTATTCAGCTATTAGTGTAGTTTAAATATAAAGATGGAGGGGGGTCTGAAAAAAAAAGTGAAAACATTCTCTCAGATGCTTTCTGTTGGTCCCCATTTTTATAAGAAGTTTATAAGAGCAGTGGTTCTTAACTTTTTCTTCACCGCGGACTTTCTTTAAATACCTTTTGTGGCCACAGACTATGGCCACAGATCCCCCCAAAGACTTAACTCAGGATCTAAATCATACCATTTTTTCAAATCTTTGTGGACCCCCTGTGATGACACCATGGACCCTCAGGGCTCCGTGGACCACAGGTTGAGAAACACTGGTATAGAGTCTTTCCTTTGCAACATGGAAAATCTAAAGGTTTAGAGCAGGGGTAGGCAACCTTGGCTCTTTTATGACTCGTGGACTTCAACTCCCAGAATTCCTGAGGCAGCCATGCTGAGGGGAAAAGGAGAGTTTCCAAGCTGAGCCATGCTGGCTCAGGAATTCTGGGAGTTGAAGTCCACGGGTCATAAAAGAGCCAAGGTTGCCTACCCCTGGTTTAGAGGCTTATAAGGCAAAACCCCTGATCAGTGTATGGTCCTTATCAGCCATTTCAGACTCCTGGTTGGCCCTTGGGTTAAATCTTTTCCTGCTTTCTAAACCAGAATCCATCTACTTCTTCAGTAAATTCCATCAATAACTTTATCTAGTGATCTCCAGTTTTTCCAGAGTAGCTTAACCTGTGCTGCTATTTTACCTGTTAGGGTGGGAACAGAATACTGTAGCTTCCTCAGCACTGTTCAGCTGCACCTTCACCATTTTAGACTGGGATTGCTTTTAAAAACAAAGCAGGCTAGAATATGTATATCTAAATAATGGTGCTATTCCAAGGGAAGGCTAGAGAAAAACATGTGCCTTGTGTCAATTGCATAATACTAAGTATAAGTGTACAGCTGGGTCAGATATTAAACTTTGAATCTTCAAATCTCTACTCAAGCCTTCTGCCATCTTTGCAATTAGCAGAGCAGAATACAGAATATGGAATAACAGAGTAGGAACGGATCTTGGAGGTCTTCTAGTCCAACCCCCTGTTCAAGTAGGAGACCCTATACCATTTCAGACAAGTGGTTGTTCAATCACTTCTTAAAACTTCCAGCATTCACAACTTCTGTAGGCAAGTTGTTTAATTGATTAATTGTTCTAACTGTCAGGAAGTTTCTCCTTAGTTCTAGGTTGCTTCTCTCTTTGGTTAGTTTCCATCCATTGCTTCTTGTCCTGCCTTCAGGTGCTTTGGAGAATAGCTTGACTCCCTCTTCTTGGTGGCAGCCCCTGAGACATTGGAGCACTGCTATCATGTCCCCCCTCGTCCTTCTCTTCATTAAACTAGACATACCCAATTCCAGCAACCGTCCCTTATATGTTTTAGCCTCCAGTCCCTTAATCATCTTTGTTGCTCTTCTCTGCACTCTTTCTAGAGTCTCAACATCTTTTTTACATCATGGTGACCAAAACTTGATGCAGTATTCCAAGTGTGGCCTTACCAAGGCATTGTAAAGTGGTATTAACACTTTTACATGATCTTGATTCTATCCCTCTGTTAATGCAGCCTGTGCTGGCTTTTTTGGCAGCTGCATTTCCTTGACACCTGCAAACTTTTGATTATTATAATCTCTTTAGTTCGTTTGCTTTATCTTTATTCACCAGGAACTAAAATAAATAATCTAAACTCCAGCTGGGAAAATAAGACACATTCTTCAGTTAGCACTACTAGATAAAATGTTTCAGCTGGGGAATCTATTAAAATTTCCAACCTTCGCCTCCTTCTACAACCTCAAATCTTTATTTTTCTGCAAGTTACCATGAACTGCACCCTTATCATTCAGAGCATTTGTGCGTGGGGGGAGGGAATACACAAGATTGTCTGTTCCTTTTCTTGGAACAATTCCTCTTGAAGTCATTGTAATTTGCCACAATTTGTGCAAGATTTCTTTCTCATTAATGCATTATGCCCCATTCCCCCAAGAGATAAAATTCTGCAACTTTCTCACGCCTGATCATGTTCTCCTCCCTTCCGCTGTGATCATGTTTTCTTTCTTTTTAACGGAAACAAAGGAGTTTTCCTTCTGGCTCAAAAAACGACAAATTCCCATGGTATAGCAAATTACAGCATAGGCATTCATGGCTTGTTCACTAAAAATGTATTGATCTTTATGGTGTCGGGAGATTCTTCCTTCTTCATTAAGGGAGCAATAAGACTCTCTTGACGGAAATTCCTCATTCACTGGTGGTCCATCAAGCCAGGTCTTCAATTCCTCATTCACTGGTGGTCCATCAGCCACTGGGATCGTACATTGGGCAGAAGATTGGATTGGACCCCTGCTTCTCCATCTTGGAAAGTTTCAGATGGGTGGACTTCAACTCCCAGAATTCTCCAGCCAGCAACTTCTCAAAATGGAGAAACCTCATTGTCCCATCTTTGTCCAGCGCTTTCTCCATTTTGCTTGACCATCTTGCTTACCACGAAACCCTTGGATTCCTGGTTCGAATCCACTCTTAGCCACTGAAGGTCATTGGCTGTCACTCCATCTTTCTGCCCACCTAGCCTACCTCATAGGGTTGTGGTTATGGGGATAAAAGCCTCTGGTGAAAATGTGAGAGATAAATATATCAAAGAAATGAATAAAAGGGCAGTTTTGGGTTGTTTAAGTCTTAACAGGGCTGGGATTAATAATCGAAGCATCGTGCAACTCACTGTGTTTGAAGAGAGATCTGTTTGACCCCAGCCTTACTAAAAGCATCTTTTTAATGCTTTAAACCCATTTTTAATGCTTTAAATGTTTATGGGTTTTTTTCTTCCATGCTGGGATATTCTTAAAAGCTGCTTTTAAGCCTGACTGGTGGTTTTCTTTTGTTGTCACAGTTTATTCGTTTCATTATTTCCTTTCCTTTTGAAGTTGGGACTGAGGTGAAAAAGCAGAAAAATGTGGCTGAATTAAGTTGTTCTCAGCAGTATTAGCGACTGACTATTTCAGTCAGAGATCAACGCACCTCAAAGGTTAGAAATTAGAATGAGAAATCTTTCCAAAAAATTCAGCAAACTAATTATCACTGTAATTTTTCAGACTGGATGAAGCCATTTATTTATGCAGGAATTGATCCCAGTCCCCAATTGTGCCATTGTTTATAAGAGTTTTGTATACTTTATACAATTTTTCACGAATGTGGGACTGTTCCTTCAGCTTTACAGGAGCTCAGTGGCTAAACTCAGTGCAGTAATTAACGTATTGTGGCCATGACAGTCCTATAAATAGCACTGTTTGTTAAATTCATAAGTTCTCCCCTTCGTGGGCCTGCACCTCTGAAAAATCACTAATACAACTATACAACTATACTTCCTGACCGTTAGAACAATTAACCAGTGGAACAACCTGCCTCTAGAAGCGATGAATGCTCCAACACTGGAAGTTTTTAAGAAAAGACTTGACAGCCATTTGTATGAAATGGTATAGGGTTTCCTGCCTGAGCAGGGGGTTGGACTAGATGACCTCCAAGGTCCCTTCCAACTTTATTATTATTATTATACAAGCACTTAGTTGGAAAATGCTAATTATCATAGAATCGTTGAGCTGGAAGGGACCCTAGGAGTCATCTAGACCAGTGTTTCTCCACCTTGAGAAGTTTAAGATGGGTGGGCTTCAACTCCCCAAATTCTGGGTACGCTGGGAATTGAAGTCCACCCATCTTAAACTTGCCAAGATGGAGAGACACTGATCTAATCCAAACCTCTGCCCAATAGCTGGCTAATTTTGACCTGAAGATCTGCCAGGAGGGACCCCCAGTGTATCGCCAGCCTTACTCGTGTTTACCATTATGACTCACTTTCTCTGAAAGCTCACCACCGGATCCTCCAATAAATCACTGAAATCCAGTTTTCTCCCCTTCTCAATGACATCACGATGCTTCCGAACAAAGAGCCAGCCAATATGGGAGAAAAAAAAACCCCGCTGGGCATTATGGGGATCAGCATCCGTCTCGGAGTACTTGTGATGCACCCGGTGGTCTCGAGCCCATTCAAAAATATCATTCTGCACAAAACAGAAGGAGAAAATTAAGTGTCGTGGCTCTGTGGGCCTCTGAGTCCTTCCTTGCCCGTGTTGTCCTTTTAAAGCAACAGCATTGTCTACGGGGGTGCTTAGTCACCCAGATCATGGTTGTCCCAAAGGTGCTTTCTCAAAAAGCAGCTGGACTTTCTTTGTTTTTTCCTTGAAGACGTTTTGCTTCTCATCCAAGAAGCTTCTTCCGTTCTTCAAGGAAAAACAAAGAAAGTCCAGTTGCCTTTTGAAAAAAACACCTTTGGGACAAGCAACAGCATTGCTTGCTCTATCAAAAAACCCCAAAACCCAACTGTTTACGTCAAGTACTATCAAAGATACCAGCTGGCTTAGTTTCCAAAGAAAATTGCCCTCTGGCTATCTTGTTTTTTCTACCTCCTATGAGACTTCAGGAGTATTTTTACCTCACCCACCTGAGCTTCTAAGAGGAGAGCAGGTGGGCTTATTTTCAATATATAAATACTGTAGCAGGTGCAGACATCTCTCACCCTATAGCCCAGGAGTCTTCAAACCTGGCCCTTTTATGACTTGTGGACTTCAACTCCCAGAATTCCTCAGCCAGCATGCCTGGCTGAGGAATTCTGGGAGTTGAAGTCCACAAGTCCTAAAAGGGCCAGGTTTGAAGATCCCTGCTATAGCCTGTGTCATTTCAAATATTTCTCTGTTGCAGAGCCAAGAAACCAGCTGCTGGGCTTCTCTTCTGTGGCTTCTAAGGAGTTACCTGGATAATAAAAACTGGAAAATAAATAATTCTGCAAAGTTGCTGGTTGACCAGGGCCCTGTACAATCCCAAGTATGCCTGGAATCATTAGGTCAGTGATGGCGAACCTTTTAGAGACCGAGTGCCCAAACTGCAACCCAAAACCCACTTATGCATCGTCGGGTGCTGGGTGGGCGTGGCCCATTGGGTGGGCGTGGCCCATTGGGTGGTCGTGGCTGTGGTGGTAACAGCAGACTGGGTGGGACTAAAAAGTTCAATCAATCAATTCCAACTTTGCAAGATCTTTTTTTTCCCCGCGAGAAGTTGAAATTGACTGATTGATTGAACCTTTTTTTTTGTACACGGCGGCGGAGGCCTAAAGCGAAAAGGTTTTATAAAACTCAGCTGAAGGCGTAGGACTGGGGCGACAGCGCGCGTGCCCACAGAGAGGGCTCTGAGTGCCGCCTCTGGCACCCGTGCCATAGGTTCGCCACCACTGCATTAGGTCCTCACAAGTGGCCTAAATCCAATCCCTCTTGAATTCTGTTGACTCTTATCTATTACTCTGGGAGTTGAAGTCCACAGGTCTTAAAGTTGCCAAGGTTGGACACTCCAGCCTTACACTATCCCTTAAGTAGAGTTCAACAGATGTGTAAATACCCACCTGAAATGCCATTGAATTGGCTGCAGCCAAAAATATTCGCAGGGGCAGTTTGGCTTTGTAAGATCTGTGACTCCACAAGCGGTGGGCACCTGCTGTCACCCCCAAGGCGCACATCAGGAAACATATGTATGCTGAAA